GCCGAGGAAGCCGTCTTGGTACCCAAAAAGGCTTGATGCTGCTCTTCTGCTTTGGCTTTTTTGTCATTAGCTGCGCCTGCTGGGATGTCCTCCACAAATTTGATCGGCGTTGTTCCGCTACGAGACGGGTGGGGTCCGCAGTCGTAATGATGTCAGCAAGGAGACCAGGCTGTATCTCGCAGCATTGGCGTGCTCACCTCTGAGCTACGAAGAACTCGTTTGGGCCGATCAAATCGCGGACGACGGCTGCATGTTGTTGAATACGTGGACAAGTGAGCGAATGTCTGCTTTGCATTGGCCATGACAGGAAGTGTCCCTCGCTCACCGTACTGCACAGGTGCAGACTCCGCTACGAGCTGCTTGAAGATCTCAAAAGCTGGCGCATAGCGTCTCATGTAGGCCACGCTAACGTGCACGCCCGCCTTCTGCTCAGCATCCTGAATTCTCTCTGCATCTTGTCGCGTAAGACACAACGGTTTCTCGATGAAGACGTGCTTGCCCGCGTTGATAGCTGCGACTGCATGATCGCCGTGATACTCGTCTGCACTAGCGATCAGCACCAGATCCACATTTTGCAGCGTCACCAGCTCATCCACCGTCGCGCAGGCTTGGGGCACGCCAAATTTGCTCGATGCGTGCTTGGAAGCGGCCAAGGACAGATCTGTGATGGCTGTAACTTTGTAGAGGTGAGGCAAGAGCTGAAGTGTCGGCAAATGCACCACTTGCGATACTTCTCCTGCGCCGATGATGCCCACGCGGATGGGAAGGGTAGGTGCAGAAGTCATCTCGACGAGTCTTGGAACGGTGAGGTCTCGTTTGCCGAAGTGATCCGATGGGCAGTGGAGTGTGAGGGAGTGAGAAAGGCAGGATAATCCGAGGTAGACGCCCTTTTATAACCGAGGTAGCTCTCCTCAAATTTCTGCAACACGGTCTGTAATGAGAGCAGCGTCCGATGGCAACAGGTGTGTGGGATCGGTAGCCGAAGAACCCTGGACAAGTGCGCGCGTGTTGATCAGTGTGGATGTGCCTGTATGCGCCGTTGCGAAGTCACTCTCGGTCTTTTGACGGCGTCTTTGGGTTGATATTCTCGAGTGTGGGCCAAGTATGTTGATGGCTGATCGAGCGAATGCCCGGAGATAGCCAAGGCACAGGTGGCCAGATGACGCTCAGCATGACGCTGATGAGGATGACGCTCG